TGTAATTTTCATTTCAAAATATTAATTATAGAAATTATGATAAAATCCCTAAATATGATTTTTGAGATGTTCTGAATCAGAGGTTGGCAAATAATGACCATCAAAGAGTTTTTTTCCGGCCCGCCAAGACAGACAGAAAATCTATCTTGGAATCGAGATTTCTTTCCTGTGCGCAATCAAAGATTCATCTTGCCTTTTTCACTATTAGGAAAACATAATTCTTTTATTCCTTTGTTAGAAAAACACAGTAGCTTAATGTTCTTTTCATAAGAGAACAGTTAACGAATTTGGAGGAGAGGTCACAAGATTGTAAGAAAATTGAGCCTTAATTTAATTTGGTCTGTTATCCAACTGCTGCATATATTGATGCAGCACCTGAACTTATCGACTTTGAGTCCGATCGCAGTTGAAGGAAATGTGTATGCTATGATATTAAATTTTACAAATTTTTGTCAGCTGAAAAATCCCCCTGTATGAAGAAATTTGCTGGGGAATCGTTATTAAAATTTCAGTCGATATACAGTGGACCACAAAAGTGTTTGTACACCTGTAGTTTTCTATAAAACTTCACTGTTCCAATTAGATTCTTTGGATTAAATTTTAAAAAATTGAATGTTGACAGCAAAATAGTTAGGATGAGAGAAAATTAAACAATTTTGGTTCCGACGGCCGTATAGTAGTTTGTAGAAGAAAAAAATGAGGAATTTATTCCCAAGAAATTAGCTGGAGCGCTTCGACATCTATGCTTCAGCATGAAGGTGGAGGTGTTTTTGAGTGGTGGTGTACATTGGCTTCAAGGTTAAGTAATTTGGTATGTTTTTTATGGAAAATCACGAGCTAAACATTTAATCACAATCACATTTTAAAGAACAATTTGTAATTATCTGACCAAAATTTTAGGGCTCACAGGACTCTTAACAGATATCCGTGCACTCGAAAAAGGCATCCTTCTTCAAACCAATGTAACTCAGCAATAAAACGAAACAATAACTTGAAATTTTTACCACAAGATAATCATATATATATATATATATATATATATATATAAATAAATATATATATATATATATATATATATATATATATATATATATATATGTATATACATTATTTCTCCAAATTTCAGAGAATTTGAGAAGAAATTTAAAGATTTATAAAGAAATAAAAATTGGACAGTTTTTCAAAAATATGAAAATTAGTATTTTACACTGCGCAGGATTCTGAAATACAAAATTGATCAACATTTACAAAAGTCAACTTTACTTGGTATAAAAATGTTTACTTTTGAAGTTATACTCACTTTTCAGAAATGCAGAAAAAAAATATTTTTTAAGTACAATTATACCGAAAATATTAAAATTTTAAGAAAAAAAATGAATTAAAATTCAAATACAAAAATACTCTATTATTTTTTTTTGAAAATTGATGGATAAGTTATGAAGAGCCTTATTTTGATATAACGTGTAAAAAATTTCTAATTGATACCATACATAGTTTCTGAGAAATCCTGCACGGAAGCTAAATTTTTTTATTTTTCGAAAAATGAAGTTCAAAATAAGATAGAGATAGGGTTTTCATTTAAGTTTCACTACCTATTTCACAATAACTTTGGAAGTTTTCATAGTATCAACACAATTTTGGTACCAAAACGCTCAGAAGTAATGAGGCTGTAATATATATATATATATATATATATATATATATATATATATATATATATATAAATATTTTTTTATATTTATATGTATAAATATTTAAAAAAATTGAAAAATTTGCAATTCAAGAGTCCTATGAGCCCTTAACGAGATTCTTTTTTTAACGAGATAATGACACCTAGCGCACTATTTTCAATGTACCCTGCTGGTGTCTCTATAACTGCTCGAAATTCTGAAAGAACCTCTTAAGTCATCTAATTTAAGCCTAGTATAACATATTTCCTGAGAATTTGATTTAAAAAAAAGAAAACATGGCATATAAAAAACTAAATGTGAAGTAAAAACCATAATCACAGAAGAATAAAGTAACATCAATGCATAAATTACAAAACACTGATGAAATCTATACCAAGACATTTAAAAGTTATTGTAGGCGATATAATACATCATACTATTTAATTAAGAAAAAAAAATACATTATTTAAAGCTATGCTGAGATTTTTTTTGAAGTGGGCGAATACTTTTGTGGCATAGTTTTTCTGTAGTTTTTTGATCATTATTTTAAAAAAAATAATAGCTACGTTATGTTTTAAAAACTGATTACATTATACCATTAAGAACAAGTTGTGGATGTTATAAAAATTACAACTGTGATATATTAAATTTTATTAGACGAGATATCAAATTTTATGAAAAATTGCAAGTGTTCGAGCACTTTTGTGGTTCACTGTATATTTGAGAGCAAAGTTTTTCGTGTATGTAGATTAACAAGAGTAAATAAAAAGAGTAGTACAACAAGATGACATGTACTCGAAGGTTATGATGACAATTTAAACAAGTAATCTAACCCCTGATTTAAGAAAACCAAGACGTTCTTAACCTTCGAAAAATCTATTTTTCAATTTTTATCTTAAAAGAAAAGTGTAAATTCAATGCTGATTTCAAAAATGTATGACATACTTAGTTTTAAAGCTTAATAACCGAGTAATTGCAGTTTTAAGATGTAAACAACAGCTTTTTTCAGTTACAACAAATCTCTTGTAACTGGAGAAAAGCCCTCGTGTAGCTGAACAGGGCGACGTTAATATTCAATCAATCAATCAATCTTGTAACTGGAGAAAAGTACATCCACAAACATTTCCTCTCAGAACCAGTTCTTGTACATACATATACATACTTTTTAAAACATATATTTAGAAACTTAGCAGCAAAAGAACTTTCACCTAAATGGATGCTTCAATAACTGTGTATGGAATCAAGTTCCAAAAACACATTGGTGAACAAAAAAAAATTGTAATTTGGTGTAATGGACACAGTGCTATGCTTCAATGAAGATGCACATGCAAGAGCGAAAGTATTAAAGGAACTAAAAATAAATCTATAGATTAACAGCTGTGAAAGCTTTCGAAAAATTGAAAAAGTTAGAATTTGTGAATCCCAGATGACGGTTCAAATACCCGGCAAAGAGACCAAGATTATTGAAAGACAAAATAAGGAGGGTTTATAAGAGTTCATGCAAGATGAATACAAATCTGGAATGGTTTTAAGTATCAAATTTTAGTAAGGTGTACTATTTTATTTAGTTATTTTCATACTACTCAAATGTGTTTTTCAAGTTTTTAGGTACATCTGTAAAAAATTCTATCTATTATATTTTGTTGAAACATGGTATAAGCTTTTGAATAGTAATAATACATTTAATGTAACTAATTTAATTTCTAAAATGTTAGTATTTTTGTTTTTACTGACAATTTTATAAAAAAAAATGCCGTTTCAAAAAGTCAAGATTCAAAGTTCTTTTAGAAAAATTCTAAGCAGTGAAATATATATATATATATATATATATATATATATATATATATATATATATATATATATATATATATATATATATATAACTATAGTATTTAAATGAAAGTATGGTTTTGTATATGTTTTATATGTTTTGCGGTTTTATATGTTATAAAAGAAAAAATACAGGTACCTAACCAACACCATGTGTACGAAAGCACCTTTTCAAGTGTATTTTTTTTCAAATCCTTATAAAAATATTGCGCACATTTATAAATTTTATGTTATAGTAAATTAAGAAAAATATATAGATTGTGTGAAATAAGTTTTTTTAATTATGGAGTGTTTTTGTTTTTGAAAATAATATTCCTTCGAAAACCGAAATTTTGCTCGTTTTGAGTTATCGAAAACATTCCGGTTCCCTTAAAACAAAAATACTAGAAATGTGTAGTGTAGGGTACATTTCTCTTATTAAACTGAATCTAAAATTAAATGTGCGTGCAGCGATAATCTGTAATCAGCAAAATAAGTAGCATAAAAATGCCACAATTTTATTTAACTTAAATTTATGATTTTTTTTATCATGAATGTAATCATTTTAAACAGGTGTGACCCTCCGATGTATTAAATGTAATCCGCATTCTGAAATAAAACAAGTTGCCAACTCTGGTTTTAAATGGAAGTATGTTGGGGTTTGGTATTTTATCTCTCTCTCACAGCCTTATTTTTTCATATCGAATTTTGAATTATTTTTTTCTCAAGGTGATAAAAATTACTTTTTAAAGCTTTAAAAAAATATGAAATCACGTAAGAAAAATATTTGAGAATTTTTATTTTCTATATAGGGACTGGTATCTTCATGTTTGCCATCGCCATCTTTCTTTTATATACTTATTTGTTCCATTTCATACAAAATCTTTGGATAAAATTAAAGTGGAATAACCGACTCCTTTTCAGAGACTTTCTAAAAGAGTAAATTTTTTGTAATTATTTTTGTTAATTTGTTTCCTTCAAAACCTACATTTACACTCTTCCAATTTAATACTTCGTAAATTTCTATTGCGTCTGTTCAAATAAAAAAGTTCCATACCCCTCTGACTAAGAATATAAATCATTTTTAAAACAAGTTAATGTTTTTTTTTTTAAAAAAATGGTTAAGTTTAAAGATATGCTTTTCTGGGAGATATGACAAAACACTTTACGATAGTATTTTTATATTGAACAAGCAATATAAAAGAAAATGAAATAAAAATAATAAATTATTTTAAAAAAGTCAATTCCTACTTAGGTCAACAAAGAAAAAAATTTATTTTAGTTACTTTTTATTAAATACCTACAATTAATATAAATATGTATATACATATGACAGAATCGGAATATTGAGTGACAAAATACAAAACAATTTTCCTTGCAATTTTCCATTTTCCTTTCTACTTGTGTATGGAGTGTTGGACTATTTTTGTTTGTTTTTGCTACTATTTATTAATTTTTTTAATTTAGTTATTCTAATAAAATAATATAGTAAGAAAGAAATCGCATTCTCAGAAACTAGGCCATCCCAGGTGGGACTCCAACCCACACTCTTTGGATCAGAAGTCCAATGCGCTATCCATTACGTTACAGCAGGGGTGGGCAGATTTTTATATGGCACGGTCTACTTTTAATTTTTTCAAGGTGTTGCAGTCCACCCTGTGACGTAGGTGCGACGAGCAAAAAAAAAAAAAAAAAAGCTCAACACACAATATTTGTATTATAACAATAATAAATACAGTGTTTACTTACATAACTATAGCAGAAAAACTGACTCTTTTAAAACTACGTTTTAAGTAAAACGCACAATGCGAACATAATAATTATTGATATAAATTTAATATCAAATGATGCATTTTCAAACAATTCACAATAAATCACAAATTAAATAATTTTCACTTAAAATTAGTTCTTATAGCTATAGTCTCAATAGACGACTTAGTCTTCAGTTTATCCGCCCCAATCTTGAATACCTTGGTACATAATTACTAACTGCTAATCTTACACTGTATTCTAAGTGGTCGTCTGTGAAACTGGAATATGTTGCCTTAATTATATTCTTCGTTGAAAATATGGATTTACACTGGTAAGTAAAGCGGAAGAACGATGTTAAATGAATTGCAGCTTTTTTAAATTTGGGGTACTTTCCTTCGACTAACAGATTCCAAAAGTTATTCTTTACAAAGTACGCCCTTTAGAAAGAGAAAAGCTTCGTTTTCCTCGAGAGATACATAATGTGTAACGTATATTTAGTTGCATTTTTCACATCAACATTACTAAGTGGATAACCCATGAATGCAACTTTTGTGTGATTCTAGTCTAGCAAATTCTTGAAAACGTCTCTCAAATTTGGGTTGGAGTTTTATTCACTGATAAGCATCTGTGTTTCTTTTCCTATGCGCGTCTAAGGTTTAATGTGAAGGCGGGCACCCCAAAATGTCTTGACGGCCCAAAGGTCAACCGCGATACACTTAATGCCCATTTCGGCGCTACAGGAACACAACAAAAGATTTTACACATGACAGAATCACAATATTAAGAGAAAAAAATAATAAGTGATTTTCCTTGCAATTTCCCATTTTCCTTTCTACTTCTATATCGGGCGTTGGATTATTTTTGTTTAATTGTTACTGTTTGTTAATTTTTTTAATTTAATTATTCTAACAAAATAGTATAGTAAAAAGAAATCACATTCTCAGAAACTGGGCCATCCCAGGTAGGGCTCGAATCCATGCCCTTTGAATTAGAAATCCTCCGCGCTATCCGTTAGGCTACAGGAACACAACGAATGATTTACCTTTCTGTATATGGTGTTGGTTTATTACTTTTGTTTGTTACTATTTATTTATTTTTTAATTTAATTAATATTGGAAAAACTGTATTAACATCAAGTGTCATACACTACAAGTTTAAAAGAATATATTTGAACTTGATTGGATGAATAGAAAGTATTTTAATAACGATTGAAAATTTGAATAAGATATATATATAGGGAAAGCGTGAACTAATAGTAGGAATTGAAAAAGGACGAACTTGTCATAATGTAAATACCGAGCCAATCTTTCCTAACTTCAACACCTTTGCTTTTATGCAAAATAATAGAAGCTGTTGATCGTTAAATCCTATTAATCTTCATAACCGCCAAGAAAAGGATGAACAAGTTGATGCATCTGTGGGAACCTCCCTGGGTTCCACCGTGGACACCAAGATTGAATTGAGGCAAATAATTACCAGACGACATTTTTACTATTACAAATAATATTTATTCACTCGAAACACTTTTCAACCTTCTAAATACAAATGTGAAGCAATATGTCTATGTCAATGGGATTTAACTTTACTATTAAATTAATTCACGAAATATGATACTAATCAACTATTAAACTCAATATTGAACGGCTTTACCTGAATAAGAGGACCGAGAGGTATACACAATTTGAATTACTAGCAATCATTAAATATCCTCTAACTCTAATACACTCATGTCCATAAATTAAGGATAATGAACTTCAGGCAAAGAAAGAGACAGAAGCAAAACAAATTTGACTTATTTGTAAAGTCTATTTATTAAACAAAAGGTAAAGAGCAAAAAAGATGCTATATGTTTTGACATAATTAATAAAGATTGCGATTTTTACTCCCTGGAGCAAATTTAAAAAAAGAACTTATTTACAAAAAATAGTATAACATGTGGTTAGTATGATGGTTAATACCGAGTATGTCTCCCGGACCATGCAATAGAGGCCTTACAACGCCTAGGCATGCTGAGTATCAAATTATCAATCTGATCTTGGGGAATACTACACCACTCATCAAGCAATGCCCTCGGAAGTTCCTATAGACAGGTGGGAGGGGGTTGACGAGCTGCAATTCGTCGGCCAAATGTATCCCACACATGCTCTATTGGATTCAACCCGGTGAGTATTCTGGCCAATCCATACGGGTGATATCCTCCAATTGAAGGCATTCGTCTACAATGTTTGCACGGTGAGGACAGGCGTTGTCATCCATAAACAGAAATTCAGTACCCATGGCACCCGAAACAAACGTACATGTTGTTCCAGAATGACATCCCGATAGATGTCGCCTGTCATCGTTACACTCTGAATATGTAGGTCAGTTATGGAACCAAGAATAATTCCTCCCCGAACGAGCCATTCTGCACCACCGTAACGGTGTCGTTCAATGGTGTTCTCTTGGTGGTAACGGGTACCTGGTGCTCTCCATATTAAACCTGGACTAGTCGGAAAACATCACACAAGACCACTGTTGTGGTGTCCACAATGCATGCTCTCTATTCCAGGTTAATCGCAGGCGACAGTGAGTTGCGGTAAGTGGAACACATCTGACAGGCCTACGAGTATATAGACCAATGTGCCCTAAGCGTCTGTACACGGTCTGCCTTGAAACTGTCGTACTGGTAGCTGAAGAGAGCTGACGAGACAGGTCTGATGCTGTGCTCCGTCTGTTTCTTTTGGCAGTAACTGCAAAATATACCGTTCCTCGTTCGGCTTTGTAACTTGAGGGCGACCTGTGCTGTAACATCTACTCACATTACCATCATCTTGGAATTATTGCAAAAGCCTGGAGATGACACTCTGGGCGATTCCACTGTTACCCCTTCAACATGGAAAGCATCTAAGAAGAAATTCCCATTATTTTCATTCATGGGCTATTCGATTCTTGCCGTACATGGAACAGAGTGAAGAACAGGATATGTAAAGATACACAGGAAGAAAGGTGAGTATGACGGGTTTAGTTTCATAGCCAAAGATAGTGTTTGAGTTATAAATATTACAATAATATATTAATATCTGATCACATGTACATTTCATACAGTGTGTGTATTTTAAGCAATGAGAATAAGTCCACAAAAATAACTTACTAGAGATATCGCTACAAAACTTAAGTAGTCTTCAAAATATGCTTCTTGAGCATGAACACACTTCTGCAGGAGAAGTTTCCTTGCTTCGTACGCTCCCTGGAAGTAACCAACCGAAACATCCTTCAGACCATGCGTGCAAGCCTTTTTGACATCATCAAGAGTCCCGTGGAGGCGCTCTTTGAGGGCGATTTTCACTTTGGGGAAGAGCAAAAAGTCTGCTGTGGCAAGGTCGGGGCTGTAGGGAGGCTGTGGAATTGTTACGATGCTATTTTTTGTCAAGTGCTCAGTAAACACGAAGCAGGTGTGAGATGGCACATAGTCGTAGTGGAGCTTCCAATTGTTAGAAATTTTTGGTCTCACTCGGCTGACCCGTCGCTTCAATCTTTTTAGCACTTCCACGTAGAAGGCACCATTGAATGTATGTCCTTCGGGCATAAGTTCCGAGTGGACAACACCGTTCATGTCAAAGACAATCAACATTGCTTTCATTCTCGACATGGACATGCGAGCTTTCTTCTGACGAGGCGATTACGGAGCGTGTTATTCGTTGCTCTGATGTTTTGTCTCGGGGTCGTACTGAAAGAATCAACTTTTATATCCCCGGTAGAGACGTTGTAAAAAAAATTAGGGTCTTCTTCAATGTGTTACAAAAGATCTTTTGAAACGGTCTCATGGTTTTGCTTTTGAACGTTCTTTAAAACTTTTGGCATGAGTTTGGCACAAATCTTTCTCATCCCAAGATCCTGACTGATGATTTTGTTCACAGCCATTTTGTCCATTCCTAGCTGTTCTGCGATCATGCGGACATTTAAACGCCGGTACTTGTTCAGCAAATGTCGCACACGTTGTTCGTTTTCTGCGGTTTTGAAGTTGACGGGCGACTTGCCTGGGGCTCCTCCTCTACGCTCTCCCGACCTTCTTTAAACATATTGTGCCATCTAAAAACTTAAGCTTGCGATAAGCTTTCCCTGCCGTACGCTTGCTGAATCATTTCCAGCATTGATGCACCCGATTTTCCAAGGAGAACGCGAAATTTGATTGTGTAACGCTGTTCAATGCTTTGTTGCATTTTGAACTTGCACACGCTTTTTTGAAGACGTCTACACGCCATGCGTGATCCTGCCTTAACCAAAGCCAGCACTCGACTGTGGAGTGAAGCGTTATCAGGGTCGAAGGCCCCACTACCGACTCCAACCGGTCGGAGCGCCTTCTGGCAATGTTTCCTTTTCAGCCTTTCATTACACTTATGCGTTTTTAAATCTTTCGTCTTTACGGCTTTTCCTCAATACTAACTAAATGCAATATAGCTTATTTTTTATCGTTCTCTACTCACAACGACAGGAAAATAAGAAAAGGCGTGTACAGAAACTTTAGTATTCGTATACAGTAATTTAAAAGTATAAATGAAGTATGTGCTTTCTCCGTTATATTGTATTTCTTTGAAGGTATTGGTTTGTTTCTGATTCGTGAGTGGTGTTTAATTACGCGAAGTATTTTTATTTCTTTCTTCCTAAGTTAGTGTTTCTCAAGCTGTGGGGCGCGCAACCCTGGGGGGCACGAGCATATCGAAAATAAAAGATTTAAAAATAATTAACTTACTGGAATGAATTAAAACAAAATACTTTCAGACGTAATAAAAAATGCACTTTTACTCTGATATAATTTATAGGCACGTGATATTGAGTCATCAAAAATAAAAACGTCTTCAATACCTA